ACTTTTTTTGTTTTTTTTTTTTTGGTTGCAGCCATCCTTGTTGTTTGGTGGGCTCTGGCTGGATTTGAACCTGCCACCTTAGATGTATGTGGCTGGCGCCTTAGCCACTTGAGCCACAGGTGCCAGGTTTTGTTTTTAAGCATGAAACAAAGCTTATTGACGAAGAGAAAGACAGGTTTACGGAGTAGGAAGGCTTACAGAGCAAGATATGTTTCCAAAGATTCTTATTCAGAATAATATTGGAAAGGTGTCCTCAAAGGCCTGCGGCCTGGTCTCCTCCTTCACAGTAGCCTTTGGGAAGTACTTCCTAATATTTCTCTTTGGAAGTACACCTTTACATTCCTTACCTTTACCTGTTGGTTTCACCTTAAGCAAATTATTTCTGGTTCAATCAAATACTTGTTAAGAGTTAATTTTGTGTAAGAACTAAGATTGGCAGAAAAAGTCAGAGTTTTTTTTTTAATTTTTATTATTATTTTTATTTCAGGGTAATGCAAGGGTACAAACAACTAGCTTATAATATTTGCATATGTTAGAGTTCCTCTTGTAGTTGTGTCCCACAGCCAAAGATGTGTCAATACCCTTACATTGTGTCTATTAAGTGTGTTTGCCTTTATTTAAATTAATATGAGGTTACAATATTTAGGTTACATTGTTTTCACCTCCAGGGCAAAGTTCCATTTGTAGAAGAGCCCCTCACCATGTGCACATTAGGTGAGATCCTGCCTCAAGCCCTCCCTCCCTCTCTCACATGTTCCCCCCCCCCAAACTGGACTATATTAGTGTTTTATTGTTCTTAGGAACACGTAAAGCCAAAGATTTTTATTTTGAATCAGATTTACTATAAAAATCTGAAAAGACGGTGCTTATAAATAAATTAAAACGGGCAGTGTTTCGTATTTGAAATCACGAAGGTTTCAAGTCAGTTTCTGCCCTTCTCCTAATCTGCAAAACGAAGAGGCTGCTCAAGAGAATTTCCTACTATGCCCTCCAGGGCTACCCACCTCTAACTCAGAGGAAGGTAATTTAACCCAGAGTTTGGTTTTCGGAAAAGCTGTGAATGTACCATTCAACACAGCGAATTGAAAAGGAATTGCGGCTCTCTCTCGCCTCCTTCTGCCTTCCTTCTCTCTCTCTCTCCCGTCTTGCTCCTCGCTCTTCTTTACTCTCTCCCTCTCTTCTCTTCCCCACTCTGTTATCTCTCTCTCCCCTCTCTTCTCTTCTCCTTCGTGCTGCTCTGCAGCCTCCCTCCCCCCACCAATAAAGACCTTTTGTACAAAAAAAAAAAAAAAAGAAAAGGAATTGAGGCCGGGGGCAGTGGCTCACGCCTGTAAACCTAGCACTGTGGGAGGCCGAGGCGGGTGGATTGCTTGAGCTCAGGAGTTTGAGACCAATCTGAGCAAGAGAGAGACCCTGTCACTACCGAAAATAGAAAAACTGAGGCAAAGAAGATCGCTTGAGCCCAAGAGTGGGAGGTTGCGGTAAATTACGACGCCAGATCACTCTACCCACGGTAACGGCTTGAGACTGTCTAAAAAAGAAAAGAATCTAGGAGGTGCCTGTGGCTCAATGGGTAGGGTGCCGGCCCCGGACTGTCTAAGAAAAAAAAAAAAAAAAAAAAAAAGAATTGAACACTTGCTCGCGTAAACCTAGTTCTGCCCCCTCATCCGGATTGGCTAACCTAAAATCCCAGGGGTGTGGCCAAAGGCCAGCCGGGAGGGTGGAGGGGTGGGGGGGCTATAAGTATTTTCAATCAGGCACTAGCGTGGCCAGCTTCTCAGTCAGGGCCACGCCCCCACGTCGGCGCGTCTAGGGTCTTTCCGTGCGCGTTGATATGATTGGCCGGCGGAAAAGTGGTCCTCTTCCTCCCTGGCTGCCCGACGATCGCCCGCCATCATGGTGAGTCTCTGTGTGCCCGTGTTTGTCATCGACCATACATCTAAGCCATCCTTTGTCCCCTTGTCTTGCCGGCTGAGCTACAGCCGCCTGGAGCCCGGTTGCTCCTCTCTGGCTGTGTTTGGCAGAGGCTAGTTGCCAAGGGCGCCAGGGCCGTTGGCAGGGAATCGGGGCTGACGGACTGGGTTGCTGACATGAGCATGCTGAGTTTTGGTCTTCTGGGCCTGGACAGTGCGAGAGCGGCTGTTGGCTTCTCGACCTTGTGGGGCACAATATATGGGGCTGGAGATAGTCTCTAGTAGGTACATTTCGTCTTCGGTCCTAAATTGGTTAGGCAGGTTGTGAGTGAAGGTGCCGGCAGCACCCGGGCCAGTTGCGGCGACTGAAACCACTCTCAAGTATAAGCTAAAAAACTTGACTTGTCCTCTTAATGTGTTTTCTCTTCCCATATTGTGAAAATTTAGGCGCTAGTTGGAATACTACCAAAAGGTGGTCTTTTCATAAGTTGAGGTTTGTTAGCTCCGTCACTAAAGATTTCAGCGCCCATCTTTAACCACATCTGCAAGCAGTTTTTTCCCTGATTTTTTATTTTCGAGAATTTGGAACCACTGAGGTGAATTTAATTTGGTATGGTTTCTCAAACTGCAGTGAAAAGTCTAGTAAGTGAGTTACTGCTATAAAAAGTCTCTCTCTCTTCTTGATAAAGTTAGTCTTTTTTAATCAGCGTAAGATTGCTGAATGCCCATATTGTTTGCTAGTTACTAGAAGAATGCTCTTGAGTCATTTGGAGGGGAATACTGTATTTTGTGAGTTTTAAGGAGTTATTAAAGACGGGTAGATTGCACAGAGGAAGTGAGTGCAATGTTTATGTCAAGGTTTTGCAGGATGTTACATACACAGTTCTGTGAGTGTAACTATTATGTGAGCTGCAGTAGTTTTTATTTCAGAGAAGTGGGTCCTAGCTGAGGGTGATTTTTACCCCTAAGAGAGCAGTGGCAAAGTCTGGAGACATTTTTGGTTGTAAAAACTGTGTGGTGGGCAGGGCTGTGCTGCTGGTATCTAGTGGTTAGAGGGCAGCGATTCTTACAGATAATCTAAAAAACGTAGGGGATAGTTCTCCCAGCAAAGAATTATCTAGACCAAAATATCAGTAGTGATACTGGGTTGAGATATCCTGCTCCAGAATGATAGCCATAACTTAAGAAATGTGGTAAGATTTACATACTTACACAAAACTATTGAGTGTATTTTCTTGGAATTTTGTTAGGTGCGTCCTGTGAGTTTGGCAAAACTCTAGGTCTTGGAAAATCACAGCAACGTTAAGAAAAGGTTGAGTAGTTTTATTAACCAGAACGTTATATTTTCAGAACGACACAGTAACTATCCGGACCAGAAAGTTCATGACTAACCGGCTACTTCAGAGGAAACAAATGGTGAGGAATGGCACATCAATATTTGGTTAATTGTTTATTTCTAAAAATTTATTTTATTATACTAAATGCTAAATTTGATATCTCATTTTAGGTCATTGATGTCCTTCACCCTGGGAAGGCAACAGTACCAAAGACAGAAATTAGAGAAAAACTAGCCAAAATGTACAAGACCACACCTGATGTCATCTTTGTATTTGGATTCAGAACTCACTTTGGTGGTGGGAAGACAACGGGCTTTGGCATGATTTACGATTCCTTGGATTATGCAAAGAAAAATGAACCCAAACATAGACTTGCAAGGGTAGGTGTCTTTCCTTTTGTTCAACAGTTGAAAAATTTCATTAGTGTTGTGTTTGGTACGATGGGATGAGCAAGACCAAGCAGTTTTGGAGGGATAACATACAGACATTTGAAGAACCCTGAAAGGGTTACGATAAAAGGTTATTTGACAAAATGCTCAGGTGTGGGAGTTCAGAATTGGAGTCTGGCATTTGAGGTGGATTCAAATAGCAGATAAATAGTGCTCATGGAGATGGGCAAGGAGGTGTTGTTATCCAGAAGCTAAGTATGGGGATGAGTTTGGAAAGATAGCCGGGCACCCACATTTAGTGAGGTCCTTTAATAGCAAAAGTCTGAGTTTGGACTTAATCCCATAAGTAGCTAGGAACCACAAAAGATTGTTGATTATATGCTGAGTGCCAAGCACTACAGAATAAGCTCCTTAGTTTATATTCTAGTCAATAAGCAGACAACATTACTTTGAATGCTACTTTCATCTGTTCCCTTTTAACTCATTTACTCCTTTGTGTAAATCTTAACCATACATTATCGGTGAGGGAAAATGCTGGTGATACTATAGATGAATGCCACACTTTTTTTGGGAGACAGTCTCACTCTGTTGCCTGGGCTGGAGTGCAGTGGTAAACTCTTGGGCTCAAGTGATCCTTATGCCTCAGCCTCCCAAATAGCTGGGACTGTAGGTGTGCACCACTGCACCTGGCTAATTTTCTATTTTTGGTAGAGACTGGGTCATGCTCTTGTTCCATTAGATCTTGAACTCCAGGCCTCAAGTACTCTTCCTTCCTCAGCCTCCCAAAGTGCTAGAGTTACAGGTGTGAGGTACTTTACCCAGCCTGCACTACTGTTATTTGGGTTCATATTTTCAGGAGATCTTGCTGAGGAAGTGACATCGAAGCTGAGATTTGGAAACAGTTTTCTGTTTATTAAGGCAGAAGGAACAGCAAGTGCAAAGGTGGACAGAGTGTAGATGCGCAGATTGGAATCTCCATGGTAGAGAAGGTCTAGCTCTTGGTAAAGGCCCCTCTTCATCAGGGAGTGTTAGGGAGGTGAAATGGGAGGAGAGACTTTGAAGGGAAGCCAGTTGGGAGATGTGTTTTGGAAGTGGAAAAGGAAGAAACAGTGGTATGGGTCCAAGGCTGGACAGTAACAGCCAGTCTTCTCAATTTCCCATTTAAAGAGTGTTGAGTGTAACGTGGACCATTTGTTTTCTGTGAGGCTATTCTGTACTACTTGTGATTTGTTCGTCCTACTTATGTATGTTTTGAAGATACTTTTGATGTCACCATGACTAGTGCAGTGCTGTCATCGTAGCTCACTATAACCTCAAACTCCTGAGCTTAAGCTGCCCTCATGCCTCAGGTTTCCAAGTAGCTAAGACTACAGGTATACACTTAGTGCCTGGTTAATTTTATTTTTCTTTGTAGAGATGAGGGCTCAACCCTTGCTTAGGCTGGTATTGAATGCAAGCAGTCCTCCCTCTTGGGCCTCCCAGAGTGTTAAGATTGATGTGACCCACCATGATTGGTTTGCTCTAGCTGTATAAACAAGTTTTTTTTTTTTTTTTTTTTTTTGAGACAGTCTCACTTCGACACCCTTGGTAGAATGCGGTGGCTTTATAGTTCACAGCAACCTCAGACTCTTGGACTCAAGTGATTCTCTTGCTTCAGCCTCCTGAGTAGTTGGGACTATAGGCATCTGCCACAGTGCTCCGTTACTTTTAGAGACAGGGTCTTGCGCTTGGCTCAGGCTGGTCTCGAGCTCCTGACCTCAAGCTATCCACCTGCCTCTGTCTCCCAGAGTGCTGGGATTACAGGTGTGAGCCACTGCGCTGGCCAGCATAAACAGGTATTAAGTGGACTTAAAGTTTTTGGCTTGGAAAGCTGTATTTCTTAAGCTCTGTCTTAGCTTCCAGGCTGGTGGGTAAAGATGAGTTAATGTTTGCAAGTCATCTACATAATATGCCTTTTTCCTTCAGCATGGCCTGTATGAGAAGAAAAAGACATCAAGAAAGCAGCGAAAGGAACGCAAGAACAGAATGAAGAAAGTCAGGGGCACCGCAAAGGCTAATGTTGGTGCTGGCAAAAAGGTATAGTTCATCAAGGAAAAGACAGAAATGCCATTAATTGTAGGTCTTTAGTTTATAGAAAAGGTGTTTTTTTCTTAATAACCTTTTTTAATGTTTCTTCTTTCCCTCTTCTTCTGGATTCCAGAAGGTAACATGCTTTGAGAAGCTACGTATGGTAGTGTCTTACCTCAGTAGAGTAGCTTGTCCCACCCCTCACAGAATAGCATAACGAGGGCCACATTGGTTCAGTGATTGCATTGAGTACTTTTCAAGCCCCATCACCAAAAGTTTTCATTTTACTGCTAATTGGCAAACACTGTTAAAGGGGAGCAGATCTTGCTCCTTGGATTTAATACTTTCTTAACATGGTACTGGACACTGGTTTAAGAAGCAGTTGAATCAATGTGGCTTGTGTTTTCCTGGCACACTGGAGAAGCAGCAAGGATCTCAGATTGCTTTCCTCTCCAGTTGGCCATGACCTACGTGATTTTAATGATAAGCAGTTGCCCAGCTTTGCCAGCTACAAATAGTTGAAATAGTTGTGCATTATAAAATTTGAATAGAATTGAGGTGTTGGGTTGTTAAATTACGAATAATCAAGTGTTCTGTGAAATTTTTTTTTTTTTTTTTGCTTTTCCCTTCTACTTTCTTGGATTTCTTGTTCATCAGAAATGAAGTGTCTAGCAGGTACTGAGATTATGAGCACGGTGTGGGGATGCATCACCTTCACTGAGTTTGCTTTGATGCTTTGCATGTTGGCTTTTGGACAACGGTTTATAGTGTGGTCTATTATAATGCCAGTGAATATCTAAGGTAGCATATAATGAACAAAGGAAGAAAACTCTTTAATCACGTTTAATTTGGAAACTCAAAAATGCATGTTAACACGATGAAGTGACTTATTGGAGGAGGTGGGTGCACTACCCAATGGACATCTTTTAACTTCTACTTGAGAAATGCCGTGTCCCAGAGAATCACACTAAGGAAATGGCTTTACTTAACCCTGGGCTTGGGAAAGGCTCTCATCCAGGGCACTATCTTTCTCTCTGGAGCCAGGAAACCAGATGATTCTCTGGCGCCTGTGGTAACTGGTCCATAAAACTTGGCAACGCCTGTCTTGGTATCTACTCAAAGCTGCCTTTGACCATTTTCATTGTTCCTTATTAGTTAAACTCTAATATTCAGCCTAGTGTCTTTTTTTTTTTTTGGAGACAGCGTCTCACTTTTTTGCCCTTAGGTGAGAGCACCAGGGGTGTCAGCTTCCTAGCCTCAAACTCCTGGGTTCAAGTGATCCTCCTGCTCAGCCGGGACTATAGGCACCCAGCAATGCTTGGCTAATTTTAGTAGAGATGGGATCTCATCTTGCTGAGACTGGCCTTGAATTCCTGAGCTGAAGGGATCCTTACTCTATCTTCCAAAGTGCTAGGATTATGGGCATCTTTTTTTAAAATAGAAAGGTTTTTTTTTTTTAAGTCTCAGTTTTTTTCCCTCGGTAGAGTGCTGTGGAGTCATAGCAGCTTCAAACTCTTGGGTTTAAGCAATTTTCTTGCCTTAGCCTCCCGAGTAGCTGGGACTACAGACAGATACCTACTGCAATGCCCAGCTAAATTTAATTTAATATAATTTAATTTGTATTTTTTATTTATTTTATTTTTATTTAACTTTTTTGAGACAGTGTCTCAAGCTGTCACCCTGGGTAGAGTGCTGAGGTGTCATAGCTCACAGCAACCCCATCTCTTGTGATTCTTTTGCCTCAGTTTTCCTATTTTTAATAGAGATGGGTGTCTCAAGGCTGGTCTTTTTTTTTTTTTTTTTTTTTTTGAGACAGGAGCCTCA